TTTTGGTGTTAATAAGGCAAGCATAGCACAGGGGCTAAGACTATGCCTAACAAACCCTTTTGCAAGCAACTCCTCAACCTACCTATTCAACTCTTCTCATTCCTTAAGGTTCATCCTATAATGTTATAGGTTTAGCAACTCAGATCCTGATACTAGATCAATGGCATGTTGGATGTCTCTTAAAAATGGTAATTAGTTAGGAAGTTGATTTGGTACCACATCACTACATTCATGTAAAAAAGATTCAACCTCTATAGGTTGAGACAATTTAGGATTAGTGGTTATACTAGACCTATCCTTCATTACCAATGCAAACAAGCACAAACTCTCTAAACTTTCCCTTTCAAAAGCATTATGACTTAAAATATAGATGATTGTTATGAAAATGAGGAAGGTATTTCTCCTTAAGTTTAGCCTTCATCACTACCCAGTCAATAATAGGTGGCTCTCCTAAGGTCGCTAATTGTTGATTGACTTCTTTCTAATAGGTCTCAACGGCTTTCACTAATTTCAACCTAGCAAAACATATCATTACTGCATCATCATCCTATCAAAAGTACAATAATCCTCAAATTCTATTAACTAATCTAAGAAGTCATTCACATGTAGTTTACGCTCAAAACTCCTCATATCTACCTTAACCATCCTACGAATGTCATTACTGTACTCTTGATAGGCTAGCCTCCTATCAGTGTTTTGTGACCTATCAAAGGTGGACTCTTCTAGACCTGGTTGCTTTACCCCTTCATCGTCATAAAAGTTTCTAAACTCATTTGGGAAAGTGGACTCATTAATGTAAGTTCCTCTAAGAGCTGGCCTAAGTGGTTTGGATTGAAAACCTTTGGGACAAGACAACAGGCCCTAGAATGAACTACTTATGTGTTGAAGCCTAAGTTGTGGCTTGGTTTCGTCTTCCCTATTGAATTGTTGCTTACCAAATTTCTTTTCTAATTCACACACAATTATATGTATCTTACCCAAATTTTGTTCTAAATGGACAACTTTACTCTCTAGTTGAGTTACATATTTCTTAAGTTCAATCACCTCACCCTTTAAAGAGTCTTTTTCAATTTGTAATTTTGGGCTTTGACTATCTTTTGGTGAATGGGACATGATGGGTGATAAAGGAAATTGGTATAAAATCTAAAAGTATGGATATGAGTTTTTTTGTTTTTTTTTTTTTGGTTTTTCAATGCAATAGGCCTACTGAGATTAACTAAAATGCTAAGAAATCATACCAATTCTAAATTAACTAGATGAACACAATGAAACTACTCAATCTAATGCTAGCAAAATGCAAGGTCGGACTTTTTTCTTTTTTTTGGTTGTTTTCTTTACGAGCCAATAAAGGAAAACTTGAACAAAGAAAATTTACCGACTACCAATCAAAACCAATTCAGTCCACTTTTCAACAAGAATATAAGTGCCAATAAGGTAGATTTGACCCACTAACTTGTCTAAAAGAAGCCTGTTTAGATGGGAGTTTGAACAGTAGATTGGGTTTGGATTGTGCTGAGTCGAAAGCAAGCACTACTTGTAGATTCTCAATTTAAGA